CAATATATATATATATATCAGGATCCAATAGGTAACAAACCGGGTCAAAATAGCCCCAAATACAAATACTGGGTTAGATTTGATGGTTAATCTGACATTGCAGGTCACCAACGAGTAACAAGCATAATTCAAGTTAAATTCAACACATACCCACATCAAATAGCTTGGCCAAACTTGCTATGAATGTCTTAAATTCAACTGATGATTAGGTGAACATAATTGCAGTTCCTAATAGGCTGTGCAAATAACTACTTTGGTTGGTTAAGTTCTAGTGTTAATGTTGAATTCTTCTCTTACTGTAATGAAACTTGAAATTTCTTTTTTCTATGATAAAAAATTGATATAGTTTACCATATATCAGGATAGGAGTGAACTGTAGCGAAATCGATCCCAGGGATGCGATTATTGGCAATGAAGTCAGTTCCAATATTATAACCAGGATTGAGTCTCTTCCTCTGAGGTGTTGTTTGTCCATAAAATCCTTCAAGCCCAGCTTCCAGCAAGTGATTTCTGTCTATTGACTTCACATATGAAGCCATTTCCATTACCCACCCCTATCAGACAAGCAAACAAAAAATGAGTTGGGCTACATTTGCCAAATCCTTTTCACAGAAAAAAATTGTAGAACAACAATAATGAATGTATCCCACATACGGGTCCTACTCTTTATCTCTGTTTTGTGGTCCTTCTTGTACAAGGATACTGTGCAAATAAATTCTATTTTATGGGGTAGCATAGGTCAATAATTTGTCCCAACTGCAATAACTACTGAGGTGGGTTTTCCTTTATGGGGTGGGGTTGGACCACTGCTACTAAATAAGGTAGATTTGAAATATTAACTCAACGCGTTAACATGGAGTTGACTACCGACTTTAGCCAGTTAGGTGTGAGACAAGGTCAGTCCAATTGAAAAGGCTCCTTAAAACCCAGGTAATAAGGAGAGAGAAACTGAACAAATGGCCAACACACCCTCTTGGACTAGGACATATAAAAGTTAGACAAACGGCACACTAATCACATGTCCATGCAATAGCTAGACAAACGGTACATTAATCACAAGCCCAACCAAGTTTTGATACCAAATTAAAAAGTCCGGCCCACACTTTTCCTTAAAATTCAAGTATTAAGGAAAGAAAAACTAGCATAGATAGTGCAACTCTAGGCGCTGTGAGATACAATTCAACAAATCCCATCCATTTAATTTTACGCAACCTCATTAGTTGAGAGCACCACAGTAGTGCTCGTGCCACAATGGTACTTTGAGACTACTAAATAAATTTTTGACCATTGTAACAAATCAAATCCTGGATTTTTAATGCAAAGGGTCATCAACTCGCTTAAATGTGATTTCATAGAATGGATTCTATGAATCTATTGTTCAAAGAGGACAAAACAAAGAAAATTCTGATGGAATGTAGAAAAGTCCAAACTTAGATGTGAAGTAGTAAAGCAAAATCAAAAACCAGTGGTGAAGAAATTAAAGGATCATTAAAAACCTGAATGGTCCTTCCTGATGGATCTGATGTGCACCTGGGCTCATTCATAAGCTCCCAAGCCATGATTGTTGGATCATTCTTGTAAACAATTCCAGTCATGGTGTTATATCTATTAAGAACAGTCTGCAAAAAATGAAAAAAAAAAAAATTAATGAAAAATTCATATTAAAAAAAAAAATGATTTGTGTTTTTATTACTTTACCTTAACATGGTTCTTGTAATATCCTTTAACAACAGGGTTTCTAAAGAAATCATCATCAGATGTTAAGTACTGTCCTTGACTTCTAGCCCAGTTCACATACTGTTTCTTGCCCCCAAAGCTGTCGTAGTTGTTTACCAAACTCAATACCAGCTTAATTCCATACCTTCTTGCTTCAGCTATAACAAAATCCAACCCCTTCAACCAACAAAATAAATAAAAAATTAGGAGGGAAAAAAAAAAAGAGAGATATTTGTAGACACGCCCCGAGGGCTTCATGCTACTACAGTTCGGACTCATATGTCACGGTTCTGAATCTAATCTTGCAAAGTGCAATGGAAGACTGGTAAATCACCAAAGAGTCCAAATCCGGAAAATCATTTTGGAAAACTGATTTTTAAGAAAGAAATGCCAAACATGGACTACTTTTCCAGATACAGAGTCACCACCTAAATATTTTATTTTGGGAGAATTTAGGAAATCCTGACTCGTTGCCTAAGGCCACGTGTCCGTCATCACCAAAGTTGCCTCGACTTAGGAACTTGGGTACAATTAGGGAAGGTCATCTATGAGCACCCTCGCTCGCCTGATCAAAGATCGGCCACTACTAAACATGATATCTTGTTTTTGAAAACACATGTGCTCTTATTCCGGTTATTAGCTAGAATTTACTATGTGATGCGCATAACACACAAGTATAGACTAGATTACCTAAGTTAGAACAAAACATCTCGTGTTTGTTTGAAAATGGTTTGAAGGTGCTACTCGCAAGTAGGGCTAAGACGTGGATTTGCCACCCTCAAGTGGGCTTAAGAAAACATGATTTTGCCACAATCAATGGGCTTAAAACTTGCATTTCAATAAATTGTTCCAATTCAAGTAATTTAACTTTCACCCACAGGCATTTAGGCAGTTGTATCACATAAGCAGTTAGCCTCATGGCAAGCACGCTATCATGGCAACACTTACACTCATGCAAGATGCTAAAGCATAAACACTTACCTAGTACTCCGAGCCAAAACAATAGCTAGTTAGAAATCAATACATGATCCTAGCTATGTTAAGATGGCTAACGCAACACATGCAAAATGCAACTAAAATGGGCTCGGCTATTCTAAGAATGGCATGTGAAATGCAGCAACTCGATACACGTATTCAAGTTGGAATTGAAATACTATGCAGTTAGTATGATGAGCCAAACCCGGTGCATGCAATACAAATGAATGGATGCAAACATGCGAGCATAAGGATGCTAATTGAAACATGACCTATAACTAACCATTGAAAATAGGTAAGTAAAAGGGAAAAAGACGTGAGGTTGGAAGACATTCACACACGTACGCACACTTATTACAAAGTTCGCCCTCTCGACAGAGGGTCCAAATGAATAATACAAACTGACTAATTAACTAACTAATTAGCTAATTAATTATTACACAACACTTAACTAATTAAACAGATTAATTAAGCTACTAAAGCGGTAAAGAGGCCTCGGAAAGAGAGACAAATGCATGCATGCTCGGCTCCACTCGAAAATCTATCGCCATGCTTACGCTGCCTCTGTTTACACTGCTCTGCACCTCTGAAAACTGTGCAAGTCTTAAGGATGCTTCTAAATCACCTTCTGGGTGCTGTGAGAGGCCATCGACCAAGATAGGAAGCTCATCGACCAAATATAAGGCTATCGGCTAAGTGTTTGTAGCCGACCGGCACTGAAGATGGTCGATCGACCATCTCTTCCTGTGAAAAGCTCCTGTTGCTGCAGCAGAGGACAAACAGATCATGGCAATACATTTACAAGACAATGTCTGCACAACTACACCCCCTTATCATGTTTAAGACTCAAAGGTGTGTAGTTCTCGACCCTCGGGCCATAATCACGCATTCCAATGCATGATGGCCAAAGGAGCCAAGTGTGCAATTCAATATCAAAGGAAATGCACAAAACACATAAGGGGCCCCAACCTCTATCATGCTTGATCAAGAGGCAAGAGAATGCACACACAATGCAATGCAACCTAAGTATGTAAGCAAAGCTAATGCGACATGAGCATGTTAACAACAATGCCATGTAATGTAACTAGCATATAACAATATGCAAAGGAGGAAGTATGTAAAAACATGTTAATTAGCAAGCATGCGACAACATGCAACTTGACAAGTATGCAACGAGCATGTAAGCATGATGTAATAGGGCTAGCATGCAACAACATGCAATGGAACTAGTATGCAACAAGCATGCGACAACATCCAAGGCAAGCATGCAACAACATGCGAAGATGGACTTAAACCAAAATGGGAGGACCTCGGTCATGCCCAAATCAGTGGCCAAAGTGATGCAACAAAGGCATGAAATACACATACAAACATGCATGCTAATTAGCCTAAAGACTAAGGCATAAAAGGGCAACTCTTAAGCACACTTAAAAGAGACAAATGTGGACATGTGACAAACATGTTAAGCTCTAAAATCATGCAAGGGATGATGCCAAATCAGCCAAAGTACACAAGCAAAGCATGCAAGAAAGCTTAAAGCTTGAAACTAGCCAAAGGGTTCAAACCATGGCCATACAAAGCAAGCCCCAAAGGGCCAAGAGGACCTAAAACAGTCCTAAGGCAAGTCCAAATGAGCCTAAAATATGTAAAGACCAAAGCCAAAATAAGCTAGAACAAAAGGGCCAAAGGCATGAGGCATGCAAGGCTACAAAAGAGATGTTACACTACACCTATCAAAACCAAACATGTCTTGACATAAACCAATAAAAATAAAGTTATGGGATGGTAAAACAAGACCAAAAAACCACTTAGATGGCATCCAAATGACCTAAGCATGGAGGCATACACAATAATCCATTCATGAGGCATAAAACATCAACTCTTTAAAACATTAAAGGAGTGACAAATGTTTTTTTTTTTTTTTTTTTTAGCAAACAAAAAGAACTTTATTGATGAGAAAACATACATTACATATGGGAAAACATCAATAAAGAAAGGAAGTGCAAAAAGCATCAAAATACCCCCTTCCATCCCAACTAGGTTGGCACTAAGGGGGATACCCAATCATTTGCTAGCACCACCGAAAAGTTGGTGAGAAACCAACAGGAAAAACAGCACAGCGACAACTGAAGGAGATGAACTAAAAACAAAAACAACACCATCCAGATGAGATGAACTAAGGCCCTCAGATTGAAACTCAAGAGCTGTAGCACCAAGAACTAAGGCCTTCAGATTGCCATACCAAGCCAACACCAAGACAAGGTTCTGCACTACTTGATCAAAAGGAAACCATATCAGAACCTCAAGGGTTGGCAACAACCACCACTGCTTCGGTCACTAATAGCAGCACTGACATACCTATTTGATCAAAGGACCTACCTTCAGTTGGCAACAACTGAAGGTGATGAACTAATACAAAAACAACACCATCCAGATGAGATGGACTAAGGCCCTGAGATTGTAACTCAAGAGCTGCAAATAATAGCACCAAGACAACAGCATCCAAGAACTAAGGCCCTCAGATTGCCATATCGAACCAACCCCAAGACAACAGCACCAAGAACTGCAGATAACAAGTGCTCATGATTTACAAGGTTCTGCACTACTTGATCAAAAAATAAACAAAAACAGAACCTCAAGGGATGGCAACAACCACCACTGCTTCTGACACAAAACAAACCAGTGCAAAAACCAGCTCCAAGACCTTAAGGCCCCAAAACAAAACAGAACTCAGTACCAAAACAGAACAGAACTCACCATTCAATCCAGTACAAATAGAATGGCACCTTGTTAGACCTTAAAGCCAGTAAACCGGATGCTAGCAGCAGAAGCTTATTCCACACGCCAGCAGAATTTCAGACCAACTGACATACTTATGCACCTCCAGAATTTCAGACCAACTGACATACCTATGCACCTCCAGAATTTCAGACCAACTGACATACCATTCAATCTAGTATAAACAGCATGGCACCTTGACAGACCTTATAGCCAGTAGACCTGATGCCAGCAGCAGAACCTCATTCCACACACCAGTAGAATTTCAGACCAACTGACATACCTATTCACCTCCTAGCTAACCCCAGCATTGGCAAATCCTACTCTTCAATAGCAGTGGAAAATCAACTCAATCACCCAGTATACACAACTAAATCACCTACTCTGTCCTAGAGACAGAACCTCACTTGCTGCAAGTTATACACTATATCATTGACAGAGAAATAAAAAGAGGGGGAAGAAGATCTGAACCATAACGCAATCCTGATTTTGATAGCATCACATAACTCTTCAAAGTCCACCAGAGATCCATTAAAAATACTGTCATTACGCTGCTTCCAAATAGACCAAAGTACTGCCAACGGAATAATGTTCCAAAGCACCATTTCCTTTTTTTTGAATTTTGTACCAACCCACCAGAGAAAAAGGCTGCCTACAGAGCCAGGTATTGCCCATTTAACACCCCACCAATCCAAAATTTTTGACCAAATTCTCCAGGTAAAGGGGCAAAACAGCAACACATGGTTAATAGATTCCAAATCATTATTACAGAATATACAATTCACATTAGACCCTCTACTGAGAACACCAAGCCTTTGAAAAAAGCAGGATGTCTTAATCCTCCCTTTCCATCATAACCATCCAAAAAATTGAACCCTTGGTGGAGCCACATTCTTCCAAATGAACCCAGTTACTGTGCTAATAACCTTAAAAGGTAAAACATTTCAGCTATAAGTAGAGTCAACAGTGTAGAACCCAAATTTATTTGCCTTCCATTTGATGTTGTCCATCCTACCAAACCTAAGCACTAGAGCATTAAGCAGTAACAAATTCAGCCTCCCAAACTCTTCCACTTCCCACTGAAATAAGGCTCTTCTGAAATTAAGCTTCCATTCTTGAAAACCCATACCCCTGTTCCTCACCCCTGCCACAGACTCAGATTTGTCCAGAGACACAGAGAAAAGTCTGGGAAATTCTTCTTTTAAACAAATATTCCCAATCCAAGTGTCAGTCCAGAACATTGTTCTCCTTCCATCACCAATGTCTAGCACTATGTTTTGCTTGAAAAAATTCACCAGCTGAGGGCACAAGCCAGCAACACCCGCAATATCTCTCCAGATCATGGACAGCTTGAAATTTTTGACTGGTAAAGGCCACCAACCTCTACCAACCTCAGGGTATTTGCAGCATATCACTTGTTTCCAAAGTGCATTATCTTCAACACCAAATCTCCACCACCATTTCAACAAAAGACAATTATTCCATAATCTCACCCTTCTAATTCC